GTGTGCTCCCACTTAATGGGCACAATGTTAGGGTGTATGGCACACCTCTTGGAGGGGCAACACAATCATAAGAGAGGGTCTGCCTAAAAAATGCAAACATTTTCTCTCCTCTTGTTTTTTTCTTTTTTGGCCAGGGCCAGGTTTGAACCAGCCACCTCCCGTATATGGGGCCAGTGCCCTCCTCCTTGAGCCACAGGTGCCACCCACAAATGCAAACATTTTAACCGATTTCTTTGTACCCTCAAATTCACCTGATATTTAAAGAAAAATGTATATAGTTGATCTTTAAAAAATGTAAATATGGGCTCGGTGCCTGTGACTCAAGAGGCTAAGGCACCAGCCACATACACCTGAGCTGACAGGTTGGAATCCAGCCTGGGCCCGCCAAACAATGGCTGCAACCAAAAAATAGCCGGGTATTGTGGCAGGCACCTGTAGTCTCAGCTACTTGGGAGGCAGAGGCAGGAGAATCGCTTGAGCCCAGGAGTTGGAGGTTGCTGTGAGATGTGATACCACAGCACTATACTCAGGATGACAGCTTGAGGCTCTGTCTCAAAAAACAAAACCCCAAAACGTAAATATGTTCATGACACTTCCTAGCTAAAGTTCCTCCAATAGATTTCCACCCTAGAATAAAGCTGAAACTCTGTAACTCTATACAAGATCACACTCCATTTGGCCACTGCTTACCTCTCCTAACTAGTCTGCAATCATTCTCAACTTTGTTCACTTTTTTTTTTATTGCCCTCGGTAGAGTGCCATGGCATCACAGCTCACAGCAACCTCCCAAGTAGCTGGGACTACAGGCGCCTGCCACAACCCCGGCGATTTTTTTTTATTGCAGTTTGGCTGGGGCTGTGTTCGAACCTGACAACCTCGGTATATAGGGCTGGTGCCCTAACCACTGAGCCACAGGCACTGCCCAATTTAGTTCACTTTGGTTAAACTATATTACCTTTCTTGTTTTTCCTCCAAATTCATCTCCCCTTTTTAGACAAGGTTTCATTCTGTTGCTCGTGCTGGAGTACAGTGGCACAATCATATCACGCTGCAACCTTGAACTGGTGCACTCAAGGGATCCTTTTGCCTCAGCAGAGACTACAGGTGTGCACCATCACCTTACCTGGTTAATTTTTAAATTCTTTGTAGAGGGGCGGTGCCTGTGGCTCAAGGAGTAGGGTGCCAGCCCCATGTGCCGGAGGTGGTGGGTTCAAACCCAGCCCTGGCCAAAAACTGGAAAAAAAAAATAAAAAAGATTAAAAAAAATTCTTTGTAGAGATAGGGTCTTGCTATGTTGCTCAGGCTGGTCTTGAATTTCTAGGCTCAAGAGATCTTCCTGCTTTGGTTCCCCAAAGTGCTAGCATTGCAGGCATGAGCCACTGTGTCTGGTCAAAACTAAGGTGACCAGACATCCCGCTTTTGGTGGGACAGTCTCAATTTTTAACAATTTGTCCCGCGTCCTGCGGTGTTTTAAAAAAGTCCCAATTTTTGGAAAGAATGCACAAACGGGCAGGAGAACAGGAAGGGAATACACGGTTTTCGGCTGCCAGGTGGCTATTTCGCCAAAATATGAGTTTTATATTATTTTTGTTAATATTATAATGTTAAACTGTAATAATAACAAATAATTGTTGAGAAGTGATTATCGAGAACTGCTTATCAAAGTTTGCATTATTGTCAGGCCCTGCCCTGCCCAGTCCCCTGCCGGCCCCCACCCCACCCCCCAGCCATGTTGTCCTGTTTTACAAATGTTAAAATCTGGTCACCCTAACCTAAGGTGGCAGGTTCGAATCCAGCCCGGCCCGCCAAACAACAATGATTGCTGCAACCAAAAAATAGCTGGGCGCCTGTGGTCCCAGCTACTTGGGAGGCCGAGGCAGTAGACTCGCTTAAGCCCAGGAGTTGGAGGTTGCTGTGAGCTGCGATGTAACGGCACTCAACCCAGGGAAATAGCTTGAGGTTCTGTCTCAAAAAAAAAACAAGTCCTGATTTTTGGAAAGAATGCATGACAAGCTAGGGAACAGGGGGAGAATGGGAAGGAAATATACGGCTGCTGAAAAGGTTAATGTAACTCCATTTGGGAATGAAGAGGTTAATGTAAACTCCCTACTCCCCTCCTAGGCTCCCTCCCTTGCTTCTAGGCAAGGACAATTAGCTCAGAAGGAGTGAAACTGTCTGGACCAAACAAGTAGCTCCCCCCTCCTAGACTAAGGTGACCAGACGTCCTGCTTTTGGCAGGACAGTCCTGATTTTTAACAATTTGTCCTGTGGCGTTTTAAAAAGCCCCAATTTCTGGAAAGAATGCACGACACTCTAGGGAAGATGGAAGAACAGGAAGGGAATACACGGTTTTTGGCTGCCATGTGGCTATTCAGCCAGGATATGCATTTTATATTATTTTTGTTAATTTTATAATGCTAAACTTCAATAATAACAAATAATTGTTGAGAACTGATTATCGGAGAACTGCTTATCAAAGTTTGCATTGTTGTCAGGCCCCGTCCCGCCCCCGCCACCATGGTGTCCCGCTTTACCAGTGTTAAAATCTGGTCAATTTACACTTTACTAATGTTAAAATCTGGTCACCTTAGTCAAAACTCATACCCTACTTAGGGCCTTTATACTTGTGGCTTTTGTTTGGTTGTTTATTTTGAGAAGGGGGAAGTCTCTGGAACTCCTGGGCTCAGGCTATCCTCCTGCCTAATCCTCCCCAGTAGCTGGGATTACCTGTGTGCACCCCTCAGTCTGGTTGTTCTTTTAGGCTGGACTGCTTTTTCCCTCAGAATAGCTTTTTCACATCATTGAAGTTTTTGTTCAGATGTCATCTCCTGAAAAGTCTTCCCTGACCACATTCTCTAAAGTAAGCGCTACAGGCTTTCCCAGTCCGTTCCACCGCCCTCTCTCCCAGCTCTTTCTCATGCTCCCCAGAGTCAATTCCAAGAAAAACCTTCAAAACACAGAGGCACGGGAAGTCCCAAGATTACAACATAGCCGGGCGTTGTGGCGGCGCCTGTAGTCCTAGCTACTCCGGAGGCTGAGGCAGAGAGTCGCCTAAGCCCAGGAGTTGGAGGTTGCTGCGAGCTGTGACGCCATGGCACTCTACCGAGGGTGATGAAGTGAGACTGAATCTAAACAAAACAAAACAAAACCAAATGTAGTCACCTATGCTTACCAAACCCAAACTGAGTTATTTGCTCTTCCAAAAATTAGGAAAGAGAGAAAGCCAAATTTGCAAACAGCACCGTTTTAATCTTTGATTGGTATGATTATAAAGATTGCCTTTTGACAAATTTAGGGAACAAATCTTTTTTTTTTGTTGCAGTTTTTGTCCGGGGCTGAATTTGACCCCACCACCTCCGGTATATGGGGCTGGCACTCTACTCCTTTGAGCTACAGGCGCTGCCCAACAAGTCCTTTTTTTTGAGACAGAATTTCACCATGTCACCTTTGGTAGAGTGCTGTCGCATCATAGCTCACAGCAACCTCAAACTCGTGAGCTTAAGCGATTATTTTGCCTCAGCCTCCCAAGTACCTGGGACTACAGGCGCCAGCCACAACACCTGGGTATTTTTGGTCGCAGTTCTCACTGTTGTTGAGCAGGCCGGGGCCAGGATGGAACTGCCAGCCTCGGTGTATGGCTGGCGCCCAACTCACTGAGCTATGGGCGCTGAGCCAGAAAACAAGTCTTTTTTTTTTTGAGACAGAGCCTTAGCTATCCCCCTGGGTAGAGTGCCATGGCATCACAGCTCACAGCAACCTCCAACTCCTGGGCTCAAGCAAGTCTCCTGCCTCAGCTTCCCAAGTAGGTGGGACCACAAGTGCCAGCCACAACGCCCAGCTATTTTTTGGTTGCAGCAGTCATTGTTGTTTTGGTGGGCCAGGCTGGATTCGAACCTGCCACCTTAGGTGTATGTGGCTGGCGCCTTAGCCACTTAAGCCACAGGCGCCAAGCCAGGAAACAAGTCTTGAAAGCTCCTCCACGCCGGATTTTGTGGAGACGAAATAGATGCCATTCATAGTTCTTTAATAGCTAGTGTTCAAACGTGAGGTTGACGAATGGCACACTTCTCAAATTCTACTTATTGGCTGTAACTGAGCATCCAAATCAAATGAGTGGTTTCTTGCCTACAGCTGTTTCCACATCCAGCCCCAGATGAATTCAGCCAATTTGTTACAAACGCTGCCAATTAATAAACTTTACCCTCATGGAACTGTCATTAGCATTAGATTTGATAATACATAATAAGTGTTGTATATGTAGTATATGAAGAATGGTGCTGAATCTTCAATAAATCTATTCTAGGAAATGTAACAAATGAAATGACAACGCCGAGATCTCGAGCCTCAAAGATACTGGAGATGAACCCTGAGCTAAGGAAGGAGTCAGGCATAGTCTACAAACTCAGCTCAAATTAACAAGATTAGCGTTCGCCTCCCTTACTGAGCTCAACACCTCTGACATAGGCTGTCTGGAGGCAGCCTAAGCTCCCGGAAGGTAAACACATTGTAAAGGGCGGGGCAGAAGGCGGGCTGGAGATGGGTGAGTGGCCAGCTGAAAGTGATTGGCAGCTGCCATGTCCACGTGCTCTGAGTTTCGAACCAGGTGTCGCGAGAATTCGATGTAAACAGACTCGTCTCCCTGTCCTCCGGATCCCAACCTGAGACGCCTGGGTGAGGCGGACAGGACTCTGGGGCACGTTGATTTTCTTGACAAAAGCACAAAGGTGCTGTGTGCAAAGAAAAAACACATATTCGTAATTTCTACCCTCTTGCTTGCGTTCGCAACCGAACCCGACACGTTAGCTTCACCCGAACTTACATACTGTTGTGTTTTCCCTCTAGCCCCAGCGGATTGGGTAAATTCTGGAGGCGGGTCCGCCTCTTTCCTACTTGCTGGTTGGCGAAGCTGACCTCCAAGGGCGGTACTAAGCAGTAGCCAGTTTGCTTCTGGGATTGGCTAGAGGGGTGGTTCCGCTGAGGCGTGGTAGGAAGTGGCAGCCGTCAATCACGCGGGCAGACTCCAAACAGTGAGCCTTGAGCTGGAGAACAGCGTTTACCGGCGGGGCGGCCGGTGAGAGGACTGGCGGGGCTTTGGCTTTGGGGAGGGTTGGAGAGGACGAGGGGCAGGTGGCGTGAGGGGATCAGGTTCGGCTGGCAGGAATTCGACGGGGGAGAGGTGTCAATACTGTAGGGGGAGGGGAGAAGGGCAAGGGGCCAGAGGGCGGCCAGGGGCAGCGGTGGCTCCTGTTGGAGGTTAAGTGGGTAGCGCTGTGTGAGTATCTTTAAGGAGCGTGGGGCCTGAGGGGCCGGCGAGGGTCGTCCTCAGGAGACAAGGCCTTTAAAGGACAGGAAATAGGAGACTGTGGTTTGAGAAAGAAAGACTCGGAGGAAAATGAGAGGGTTGAGGGACTGGAGGTGAAGGTACCCCCCAGAAGAAGGGGTAGCTGGGGTAGTTGGGGCAACGAGTGTTTTGGTTGTAGGAGGTGGGGTTCACCAGGTTGGGAGTTTTCAGATAAGGTGATGGTGCTTTCAGGTTTAGGTACAGGCTGTGTGCTTTCCTGAGCTCTGTAAGAGATCTTTAATATTGCTGTCAGTCCTCTTTTAATCTTAACCGAGTAACCTCCATGATTCAGAGCTCATAAGACAGGCCAGGATCAGGGTTTATTGGTGTGACAGGAAAACCAATGGGGCTTCTAACATCATATAAGTTTATGTTACTTATTTGACTATTTACTACTACTTATTAGATTTGTTATTTATGATTAGGTTGCAAGAGCAGGGGGTTAAAAATATGATTTAAATTCTGGCTATGCAGTCTGACTCATAGATTCCCAGCAGGTTTAGTGGTATCATGTCACTCTTTCACTGGGTGTTGAAATATTGTACTATATGTATGTTCACTATCTCAACCTACATTTCCAATCATTTCCTATCCCATAATCTGTTTATGTTAAGAAAGCAAAGACTTCAGTAAGGACCTTAATTGGTCTTGTGGTTCTGAGGCCTGGTCCTATATATATATAACAAAAACAAAAAACAGTGCTCACTTTGGCAGTATGCATATATACTAAAATTGGAGCAATACAGAGATTAGCATGACGAAAAATTTTAAAATTAAAAAGAAAAAACCTTCATGATACTTTGAAAATTTAAAATACGTAGTTCATCCTCTTCCTTTCTCTTTCCGGTTGAAAGGAATTCTTGGGAAGGTGCCTATATTTTAGGCATTTTTGACAAGAGATTTCAAGTGAGCAATCAGGAACTTTCCCTATCCCCCAAAATAATGATCCATTTTTCCATTTTTTTGTTCTGGAAACAGGTTTTATGAATGAAGGTATGGCTACAGATTCCCCTAGAAGACCCAGTCGTTGTACTGGTGGAGTTGTGGTTCGCCCCCAGGCTGTCACGTAAGCACATTTCTGATATGCCCAATAGCTGAAGAAAAGATTGCTCAGAATAATAACTAATATTTAGGCATTCAGGTTTTTTTTTTCTTTTATTTGAGACAGAGTCTCAAGCTGTTGCCCTGGGTAGAGTCCCATGGCATCACAACTCATAGTAACCTCAAACTCCTGGGCTTAAGCAATTCTCTTGCCTTAGCCTCCCAAGTAATTGGGACTACAGGCGCCCACCACAATGCTCAGCTATTTTTTGGTTGTAGTTGTCCTTGTTTTTTTTTTTTGAGACAAAGCCTCAAGCTATCCCCCTGGGTAGAGTGCCGTAGCATCACAGCTCATAGCAACCTCCAACTCCTGGGCTCAAGCAAGTCTCCTGCCTCAGCCTCCCAGGTATCTGGGACCACAGGCGCCCACCTCAATGCCGGGCTATTTTTTGGTTGCAGCTGTCGTTGTTTGGTGGGCCTGGGCTGGATTCGAACCCGCCACCTTAGGTGTATGTGGCTGGCGCCTTAGCCACTTGAGCCACAGGTGCCAAGCCAGTTGTCCTTGTTGTTTGGCAGGCCCGGGCTGCATTCAAACCCACTAGCTCTGGTGTATGTGGCTGGCACCCTAGCCACTGAACTAAAGGCGCCGAGCCCAGATTTTCTTTTTGAATAGTGATTAGTCTTTTTTTTTTTTGAGAGAAAGAGTCTCCTTAAAACTCCTGGGCTCGGCTCGGCGCCTATGGCTCAACCGGCTAAGGCGCCAGCCAC